ATATGGAGATGAACTTCTCTCCACCCCTGAGGAATGATGCAAATGTACTAAAGCCATACTTCTCTTCACCCTTGAGCGCCTGTTGATATGCAGATGTACTAAAGCCAGGTGAGATATTCTGGAAGTATTACAATTTTACCCAGACTTGGCTCTTTGGCTATTGGGGAAGGGGGTAAGGATGTAAAAAGAGGTACACAGTACAATGCCCCTGCAGAGACACAGTGGGCTAAGCTGCAGCAGTCACAAGCACCAGGGTTAAGGCTGACTTAGGGCTAAGGGTTTGAGTTGGGAGCACTTACCAGAGCCACAAATGTTGCTTAACAAGAGGTTTCAGCGCTCTGCCTTCAGGCCACAAGGTAGGAATGTCCTTCCTACCTCCCCACCCTCCTATGCCCCAACCTCTATCATCTTATGCCCCTCCCCAATTGTTGGGTTGTGGGGTCATATGACTTGTTCTGGAGAAGAGGCAGAAGTGACATGTGTGACTTCTGCACTTAGCTTTTCATTTCTGGCATAGGGCTGTCTAGAAGGATCTTTTCCCTCTGCCAATGAACAACAAACAGTATTCCAGAAAGGATGGGCTCCATCCACCTGGGTCCTGGAGAAAACACCAAGTAGAGGTTTCCAGGCACCCATGTAACATCTTGTTATTGTTAAGTCCTAGGATTTCTGATGTATATTACTGCAGCATGACCTAATTTATTCCGTCAGACAGAAGGCATCAGACAGTGTGGGTAAAACTGTAGCATTTCCAGAATATCTCAACCTGGCTTTAGTATATCTGCATATCAATGGGCATTCAGAGGTGAAAGTATGGCTTTAGTGCATTTGCATCATTCCTCAGGGGTGAGGGAAGTTCATCTCCATATCAGTGGGTAATTACCTGGGCAAGGAGGGCCTAACTGTACCTGAGAGGTGAGGGGAGGGCCAGTTTTGCTTTCTTCCAGAGCAAGGGAAAGAGACGGTGCTGGATTGCATTTTGTAAGCAATAAATGGGTTTTAAACTTTATTTCTCCCTTTGAGTGATTTTGGTTTTTAGAGGTATTCTGCCCCGGGATTTCCTCTCCCCGGACTTACAGATGGTCTATGAACAAACCAGCAAAAAGGCTTTCTTGTCCATTTTAGATAATCCATTCCAAGGACATAAGGGCTTGTACATTTCAGAACATAATTTGTACATTATTGCCTCAATGCAAGCAATGCTTGGTGGGTACTGGATAATTTTAAATACTGATACAACCACTCAAAATGGATTAAAGACTTGAATGTAAGTCATGAAACCATAAAATTCTTAGAAGACAACACAGGCAAACATCTCCTGAATATAAGCATGAGCAACTTCTTCCTGAACCCATCTCCTCGAGAAAGGAAACAAAAGCAAAAATAAACTCATGGGACTACATCAAACTAAAAAGTTTCTGTATGGCAAAGGACACCTTCAACAGAACAAAAAGGCATCTACAGTATGGGAGAATATATTTGTAAATGACATATCCGACAAGGGGTTAACATCCAAAATATATAAAGAACTTACATGCCTCAACACCCAAAAAGCAAATAACCAGATAAAAAAATGGGCAGAGGATATGAAGAGACAGGTCCCCAAAGAAGAGATTCAGATGGCCAACAGGCACATGAAAAGATGCTCCACATCACTAATCACCAGGGAAATGCAAATTAAAACCACAATGAGATATCACCTCATGCCAGTTAGGATGGCCAGCATGGAAAAGACTAAGAACAACAAATGCTGGCGAGGATGCGGAGAAAGGGGAACCCTCCTACACTGCTTGCTGGTGGGTATGGAAGCTAGTTCAACCATTGTGGAAAGCAATATGGAGGTTCCTCAAAAAGCTAAAAATAGAAATACCATTTGACTCTGGAATCTCACTTCTTGGAATTTACCCGAAGAATACAACTGCTCAGATTCAAAAAGACATATGCACCCCTATGTTTATCGCAGCACTATTTACAATAGCCAAGAAATGGAAGCAACCTAAGTGTCCATCAGTAGATGAATGGATAAAGAAGAGGTGGTACATATACACAATGGAATATTATTCAGCCGTAAGAAAGAAACAAATCCTACCATTTGCAACAACATGGATGGAGCTGGAGGACATTATGCTCAGTGAAATAAGCCAGGGAGAGAAAGACAAGTGCCAAATGATTTCCCTCATTTGTGGAGTATAACAATGAAGCAAAACTGAAGGAACTAAATGGCAGCAGACTCAGAGACTCCAAGAATGAACTAGTGGTTACCAAAGGGGAGGGGTGTGGGACTGTGGGTGGAGAGGGAGGGAGAAGGGGATTGAGGGGTATTATTATGTTTAGTACACATGGTGTGGGGGTCACAGGGAGAACAGTGTAGCACAGAGAAGGCAAAAGTGAATCTGTGGCATCTTGCTGCACTGATGGACAGTGACTGCATAGGGGTATGGGTGGGGACTTGAAAATATGGGTAAATGTAGTAACCACATTGTTTTTTCATGTGAAACCTTCATTAGAGTGTATATCAATCATACCTTAATAAAAAAATTTTTTTAAATATTGATACAACCAACTTTCAATAGAGCCTCAAGACACATTCTTAGAAGATCATTAGTCTCAACTTAGATAAAATTTAAAGTTACAAAATGCTAAAAAGAGATACTAAGGACATATAGTAAGAAATTTAAAAAAAAAATGAAAATAGGAGAGTTTAGGAGGTAATTGTGGGCAGCTGCCTGAAGCATTTTTATGCAGGGCACAAATTTGGCTACTTGCCTGCCCCCCCGGATCTCTAGAACTGACCTCCTGAATTAGGGAGGGTCTCCTGCACTGTTGGTTCTTTGCCTTACAGGCCCTCCTAGTAAGGCCTGTGGACCAGCACTGTAATGGTTTCCTAACTTAAGCAATTCCCTCTGGGTTCTCACTCACATTGCCCGCACTGCAGACAAGTTGACATAAAAATACTCATCGGTGAGTGAGAGACCATGACTCTTTTTAATATGTTCCCCTGAAGTAAAATAAGTGATTCAAAGGACACCCCAGTTCTGCTCACTTCAGCATTATGTTAAACTAAAAGAAAGGAATTAATAGGCACAAAATGGAGTCACTTGCCCCAACAACAGCAAATGAAGACTTAATTGCAGTTTCAGCCCCTCCCACACCTATGACCTTTAGCCAGTTAATCTGGAATGACCTGATTAGCACTCATGAGGTAATCTGTACTAGTGAGGACCCCCACTAAAAGGAAGGTAACTTTGCCTGAAACAATCTACTCTGTTAGAAACTTTCTTAGAAAAAGCCGCCAAACGCTTTCCATTTGCACAGCTCCTTGGAGCTCTTTTCCATTTGCTAGATAGGATGCTGCCTGAATCACTGAGGAAAGCTAATTTGATACTGAAATTTACTTGGTTCAATTTTAATTTTTAACAGTAGGAACCTCTAAGGTTCCCAGCTAGCTGGTTGAGCTGCTCAAGTACATGCTAAATTCCTTAGATATATGAGCTATGTTTTTATTTACCTGTGAATAGCACATTAAGTAGTTAAGAGCCTGCTTTGGGTTCAGCCAGATTCTGACTTGACCACTTAATAACGGGGTAACCTCAGCTACAACCTCCCTAATCCTGTTTCATGCCTGTAAAATGGGGATAAGGCCCCAAACCATGGGCTTGTTGTGGAAATTATGTGACACTTGTATGTAGAGCTTCTGGTACAGCTCAAAAGTCTTTGTTGGGTGGTTGGAAGAAGAGTGGTGTGGGTAAATCGCAGTATTTCCAGAATCTCTCGCCTGGCTTTAGGGCACCTCCATATCAACAGGCATTTCCAAGAGGTGGAGAGAAGTCCCTCTCCCTATCAATGGGTCATTACAAGGGCCTGCAAGGGCGCATCTGGACCTGAGAGGTTGGTAGTACCTGCTCTCTTCTGCTGCAGCAGGAGAGGGAGGGACGCTGGATGACTCCTTGTAAACAATAAACGGGTTTTAAACTTCATTTCTCCCTTTGACTGGCTTCTAGTCTAACAGGAATGTGTGGTTTCAGAAGAGACGGTGCTTGAGGTTGCATCAAATTTAGATAACTCCTTTGCCAGCGGCTGCAAACGCTATAAAGTTTGGGTTTGATAGTGTCTACCTCAGGGGACTGGATTGGTTTTCATTCTGCCTGCACTGTTTGAATTTTATATGGATTAAAAACACACGAATTAAAAAGAAATACAATTTCTTTAAGGGCAAAAAATGTTGGACTGGCAGGGTTGCTGGCCTGTTTGCTAAAGCTTTTGGCTCTTTCAGGGCGGGACAGCAGGAGTAAGTAACAGAAGACGCTGATAATTACCCGTCTGTGCACGGCAGCTCCATTACCTTACGGACCGGAAACAACGTGGGGATAGAAACAAAGTATAATAATCCCTTATAGCTGCACCCAATCTTTCTTCCTAGTTTGCATATATTATCGTTATCTCCCTGAAGTTTTTCGGGTGCTTTCCACTTCGCTCCGCCCCCGGGCAGTCGTGAGGAGGTGGGAAACTGAGGCGGGATTGCGGGGAGCCTGCCTGCCCGGCTTTTGCACCCGTCCCCCGGGCCCCCTGCCCCCAACACCCGGACGGGGCCCCCACTGCGCCTTCGGGGCCCCCCGAGCCTCGGGCAGCCGCCGAGAGGGCCGGCCGGCCGGGAGCCCCGCGTGGGCCAGGCCTGCGCGGCCAGGGGGCGGGCCCCGAGCCTCGGCCTCGCCTCCGCCGGCGCCGCGCCGCTCCCGCCGCTCGGTCGGGCCGGCCTCTCGGGAAGCGGAGCCCTGCCGGGCCGGGCGCTCCCGCCATGCTGCAGAAGCGGGAGAAAGTGCTGCTCCTGAGGACCTTCCGCGGCCGGACGCTGCGGATCGTGCGGGAGCATTACCTGCGGCCCAGCGTGCCCTGCAACAGCCCGCTCTGCCCGCAGCCCGCCGCCTGTCGCAACGGTCGGGGCCGGGCGGAAGCGAGGGCGGCCGGGGCGGGAGCGAGGGTGGTGAGGCGGCCACACGGGGGCCCGGGACGGCGGGGTCGGGTCGAGCGTCCGCCCGGGGGCGGAAGGGCGCTGCCCGGAGGCGGAGCGCGAGGCCGCGGCGGCGCGGAGTCCTAGGCCCCCGGGCCTCCACCGCCCCAGGGCTTCGGGGCCCGCGCGCGGCCGCGGCTGCGGAGCGGGAGGCCGCAGGCCTCAGAACCGCACACGCCCTGCTCCGCCGCCTCCGGGCAGCCCCACCCGCGGCTCCCGACTGCTCGCTCTGTAACACGGAAGGGCCGAGGGACCGGCGCCCGCAGCCCGGAGGCCCGGTGATCTTCGGAGGGGCCTCCTGCTGCCCGCGCAGGGCCGTGCGCTGGGGAAATGGGACGGTCCTGAGCTGCTGGCTCTTCGCCGAGAGCTCTTGCTGCCGCTTATCGTACATTTCTTGGTTCCCCACAAATTTGCTGAACTGCCAGCACAGATGCCTCCCTCAGGCATTTTATCCAGTGAAGAACCCTCTTCACTGCAGAACTTGGGAGTTTGTGAATTCCTCATAGTGGAGGAAGGTCGTGGGGAAATTAGGTTTGGGACTCGTGTACGTCAGACCTTCCCTGACCTGGTTTCCATGCTGCAAGGATGGATGATCTAACAAGGAAGGTTACTGGTTCTTTTCCCTCTGGTGGGAGAGGAGCGTTTCTTTTTTTTCCAAGAAATTTCCAAGAAAATTTGGAATCCTCAGTGTACGGTTAAGGTGCATATTGCAGTTACAGCTTGGCTAACCAGCTCCCTGTGGTATGGGCAGGGTGGGGACCTTGCTTGCACAGAGCATTTTTCTCGGTCAATTCAGTGTTTCTGGCCCGTAGAGACTACTGAGCATGTTCTCGCAAGCTTGAGACAGCCCCGACTTGAAACTGCTGGGCATAATAAACAAGTGGTTAGCATGTATTTGGGGTGCCCCTTTTGAATGTGAGTGTTTGTCAATGAGTTAACCAATATTCAGGTTGTGCTGAAGATTAGCTTGCTTGTTTTTTAAAAACAGTCATTTTTTGCACCACTGGCAACACCATAAACCACATTGAGCTTTTATTTATCACTACTTCAGAAAAATGAAGATGCTGAATTTACCTGAATTTTGGACCTCTACCGAAGATTTGTTTTGTCTTTTAAAAACTTTCTGGTGTAGTGAAGATTGGAAGTTATTTTGCACACCATGACATTGAAATAGTAATAAACAGGGTTTGAAACTGTTGTCACGTCTCTTACCTTTTGAATTATGCTTCAGATGGGAAACTCTTGTCTAGTGATGTGACTCATTACATGATTCCGGATTGGAAAGTTGTTCAAGATTACCTTGAGATCCTTGAGTTTCCTGAATTGAAGGGAATTATTTTCATGCAAACGGCTTGTCAAACTGTGCAGCATCAAAGAGGCCGGAGGTATCTGTTTTGCATTATATATTTATTTATGGCGTAGATTTCTGTTCCCCTTTAGAAAAGGTCCCTTTGTTGGAGGGGAAGAGGAGGAATTCATTATTTTGTCAGAACACTTTTGAACTAATTTGGTATTCTCTTTGCCAGTGAGGAATGCAGTAACATTATTTTATATTTCTGCTTCAACCCCTGGCAAAAAGATCTGACTGTAGATCAGTGAACTGCAGTGTCGCCAGTATGTGGGTCTTCAAGATTCTTGGCTTTTGGTTTGCATATATTTTTTAGATCTATTGTTTCAGAAGCTTCAATTTTTTTTTATCTTTAGAGTACTTTAAATTTTAGGCTCCTTTATTGTAGATGCAAATTGTACTCGTAGTGATTTATTCAATGAAACCAGAAATAACTTGTTTTAATTTTAGATTACTACTGTAAGTACCAGGCGTAGTAATTGTATTTGCCTTAAAATGCTTGCCTGGTACCTAAATGGAGAACAGTTGTTCACCTTTCAAACAAATACTCTAAAAAAATGGTTTTGCTTCCTTTAACATTGGGAAAAGATTTATGATTTGAACGTGAAGACTGTATGAAAACAGCATACTTGAATTATATATCCAATGTCTTAACACCCTAGGTTACTTAAAGAGCAGAAACTATGTATTTATTCTTTTTTAAATGTTGTGGTTTCTTCAGACCATGGTAGTAAAAGATGAAGTATGTTTATTTATATATGAAAATGATAAGTTGTCCTTATTATATGCTCAGTTAAAAAAATGCATTAACTAGACTGCGTGCAGATTTTTCAGATAGAATATTTTTAAATGAGCTTGAAGTTGGTTTGGTGCAGACACAAAGATATAGATGTTTATATATATCCAGGTTTAAAAGCTGCTCCAGGTGTCATATTTCAATTTCTGCTACTAAAATCAATTTGTTGTTATCATTTGGATTGCTGACACACTGCGGAGCCTTTTCAACTTCTGTTTTCTAAAATATTTTTAATATTAAGGATGTTTTAAAAACCAATTCCTAGAACATTCAAAAGCAAAGAATCGGAATTTAAATGTCTTCTCTCTTGAACATTTCGAAAGTAGTTAACTTGATGAAAAAAGATTGGTTTTCTGCTGCTTTACCATATTTCTGAATATACCACATGTGAAAACATAAGATAAGAAGTGGTGGAGTAGACTTACATGAAAACATCCTGGTCTTCCCATTAGGTAAGCAATTTTGAGCTCCTAGTCCCAGGCCTCCTGGAGCACAGAAATAATAAGTCTTAGTCCCTCTCTCCACAAACCTGTTGTCATGTTGGGGTTAGATACAAAAAGCAAAAAGGTGATTATGACACACCTTAGACACATGCAGGATAACTTAATGTGGATTATGCAAAGTGAGAAGTAAATTCGGAATATGAGAATTAGATGAGAAAACCCTCTCAAGGAAGTAGGTTTGAGGCTGGTCTTGAAGCAGGGATAATAAGCATGACTGGTGAGGAGGAAGAAGAGGCAGGAAAAGGACTCAGCAAGTTTGGGGCTTGGTGCTTTGTTTACCTGTTCAGCAACCAGCTAAATGACCAAAATGACCGAGGCCCTGGAGAGTGTCATATGTTAAAAGCTAAATGTAGAATTGATGCTAGCCATGGAATATAGAAGATCCAGGGGATTGCTTTATTAATTTGGCCTTCATAAGTGTTAAGTGTAAGTAATTTGACTTTTTATATTGAGCCAAATGTGGCCTAGCAGAGGCTCTCTGGTATTTTGCTTCAGTTAATGTTGGAAAACAGTTTGTTTTTCAGCTCTTCTTGGAGATTTTTGAAGTGCTAGTAAATAATTCACTCTGGTTGATAAGCTTTTAGGAACATTATTGCTTAGGAAAGCTTTGTCAGTTAAAAATACCTCGTCTGCTGTAGTGTCTGGGGTAAGGATGCCTTGTTTTCTCCTTTTGACCCCTTCCTGAATTCTTTCTGTACAGCTCGAGTTCAATAGTTTGGTGCCTTAGTTTCTCAGGATATAACATCAGATTGGAATCATAGAATATTATAATTAGAGAGGATCTGAGAGGTCAACACAATCTAACTCTCCGTCCACTATACTAGTGTTACTCAATATGAGTAATGTTATTGACTTTGTTTCTAAAAGAAAAAATTCTCGTGGGCACCTAGGGTTATTTTTAATTTTTTTTATTGTTACTTAAATGTGTTTGAACAAAAGTCCTCATGTTTAAGTGCTTAATATAACCCTAAACCCAAATCTGAACTTTAAATTAAATAAACAAAGCTACAGAATAAGAGAACTGCAAATGAACATTAATTTAATGTGACAGATGACGTTGTTTTACTGAAATGAAATCAACAGAGTTGGGTTTAACAATAGAAAGATATAGCCTCTAAGCTGGATCTGTATTAATATGATTTTGTATTTTGATCTCAATAATATCCGTGCAGAAAGTGCCTATTCTCATAAGTATATTATACAAAACATTGTGAAAATATGTCAAGTTGTTGATTGTTCGGGATAATCACACATTTGGCCGTCTAACCCTCAAATGCTTACTTAACGAGAGGTCATTAGATAATGCTGTAAGGCTGTCTTGTCTACCACATTCGTTCACATACTCAGGTATTCATCTGCTTATTCAACAGATACTTGAGAGACTGTGCGCCAGAAGCTGCACTGACATTGAGGGTACAGTGGTGAACAAAAGAGGACACTGACTTGGGGAGCCAGGCAGTCATCAGATCATCACACAGAGGGAAATTACCAGTGTGGTTGGCGCACGGAGGGAACAGGTGCTGGGCTCCAGGACTCCCAAACTAGTCCGGGCGGCGAGGAATCACTTTCCTGAGGGAGGTTCCGACGCCGAGCTCTAAGGGATGAGTAGGAATAGACCAGGCAAAGAAAGAACCTCTTTCGAGGAGAGGAGACTGCTGTGCACGGCCTTGTGGCACACCCAAGGAACCCAGGAAGGCCCTGGGTTGGATGGTAGGCCTTGTGGCCTCAGGGGCGTCAGTGCAGAGTTTTAAGCAGGGTGGTATAATGTGATCACATTGCTCTTTTGAAAAGATTGCTGGGCTGGGGAGAAGAGGCATGGAGAAAAGGAGACTATTGCTTTAGTTCAGATTAGAGATGGAGATAAATAGAGATTTCCATGAGCTGTTTAGTAGGTAAAAATCTGTAGAACTTTCTAAGTATATAACTAAAAGAACTGAAAACACATCCACACAAAAATTTGTACACAAACGTTCATAACAGCTCTATTCACAATAATCCTCAAAATGGAAACAATCCAAATATCTATCAGCTGGCAGTAGTTACACAAAATGCGGCTTAGTCATACAATGAAATATTATTCAGCCATAAAAAGGAGTGAAGTATGAATACATACTACAACATGGGTGAACCTCGAGCGTATTATACTAAGTGAAAGAAGCCAGCTGCAGAAAAAGCATGTGTTGTATGAATCTATTTATATGACCTGCCTAGAATAGGTGAATCCAAGAGACAAAGTAGATCGGTGGTTGCCAGAGGCTGGGAGTCAGTGTGGGTGGGGCATGACTGTAATGGAGAATGACTGGAGGGGTGTTAGGAACGTTTGTGTACAAATTTTTGTGTGCATGTGTTTTCAGTTCTTTTAGTTACATGCTTTAGTTATATCTTTTGTTATATACATTTCTTTTTGGGATGATGGAAATGTTCTGGAATTAGATAGTGGTGATGGTTGCCTAACTCTGACTGTACACTCTATAAATTATATGTCTTTATGGTATGTGAATTATGTCCCAATAAAGCTGTTATTTATTTATTTATTTTTACTCTACAGACCTTAATAAAGGATTTAGATCTGCGGTGTTTGGTGGGGGAGGGGTGTCAGGATGACTCCAGGGCATCTGGCCTACATCACCAGATAGAGAGAGGAAGCCCTGGAGGAGGTTTAAGGGAGAGGGGTAGAGGTTGGGAGTCCGAGGGGTCCTTGGGGCTTCCGAGAGGGTGGCCCTAGACACCAAAGGACGATGCAGTTAGAGGTCATTCAGATGGTTCAAAATGTACCCCATTAAAAATGTTTTAAGAGTACTAAGTAATATGGATTGAAACATAAACCTTTAAAATTCTTGTAGAAAACTCAGGGACCTCTGAAAGTAAGTCCATGAGACCCTACCAGGGTTCTTCAAAAACTGGTTGAAGAAACCCAACGTGAAGTACAGAGCTCCCTTCCTAGCTCCTCACCCCACTGGCTGTGGGGAGCCCACTTCTAGTTCCCAGAGACTGTAGTCAGCAGGGGGAGGGGATTCTGCATCTGTCAGTGAGGTCACCATTGAATAAAAATAGTAAAACCATCTACCTGAAGAAGGTAAGTTTAGTTGTTCCCCTAAGAAAATGGTTTAAAATGTTGAGCTAATGGAGTCTTGGGAAACACCTAAGCTGATCCAGAGAAACTAGAATTTTTCCCTGAGACTGGAATTTTAAAAACTTAAGGTAATTTTATTGTACTTGACCATCTGAAACTATTGTTCTCCTGTCACTCAGGCCAACCCTGTTCAAGGTACCATGATGCTCTCTGCTGGCTCCGTGCAGAATACTCATATATCTAATTCCATCGTATGCACCACCAGCCCAACTAGCAAAAAATATGACTGTATCATATGTATGCACTATTAAATTATAACCATAAGCCTGCATGCCTACGAGAAAACCCGACTGTCACACTCAGAGTGACTCACTGTTTCCAGCTTTCCCCATTAATATTCTTGTGCTATTTGTTCATTTGTCTTATCTGGCTGATAGGTAGCTGACAAATGGAAGCACGTACTAAAAGTCTAAGGAAAATGTATGGGAGTGAGAGTTAAAACTGAGAAAATTATTTTTCTTAAGTTATGTATTTTTCCAAATGCTCAGAAGGATTCTCATTACTCTAATTTGGTGGTAACTCCCCTGGGTCCAACCTGTGAAACATCAGTATGTGGGGAGGACAGGGTTCGAGAATCTCTGGGTCTGACTTGTAGATGTGATAACAAATGCAGTGATGTGCGTGCAGCCTAGCAGAACAGTCACTGGGCTCTGAACATGTCAGGGTTTGTTCTGAGGCATTGTCTTACATTTGAGTCACTTATCACAAAGGATTGTGAGTCCATTTATTCATCTGGAAAACATTTATTGGTCCACGCTGTGGGTTAAGCACTGAAGATACAGAGATGACCCATGCTGTCTGCTCTCTTAAACATTCGGACCCCTCTCTCCTCCCTTGGGTCTTTGTCGGGCTCTCATCCATCCTTCAGATCTCAGGTGACGGCTCCTCTCAGATGTCTTCCCATCCCTCCCATATTCTTGTCACATCCTGCCTGCATTTTCCTTTCACAGCCCTTACCCACTGAAATGGGTGGTTTTGTTTTTTGTTTTATTTTGTTTTGCCAGTTAGCATAGCTATTTTTTTAAATTGTGGTAAAATGTATATAACATGAACTTACCAGTTTAACCATTTTTAAATGTATAGCTCAGTGGCCTTGAGTACATTCACATTATTGTGCAACCATCACTACCATATATTTCCGAAATGTTTTTCATCTTCCTAAACCATAACTCTGTACCCATTAAACACTAACTCCCCGTTTCCCCCTCCCTGGAGCTCCTGGCAACCACCATTCTGCTTTGTGTCTCTATGAATTTGACTACTCAAGGAAATTTGTATAAAAGGGATCATACTGTATTTGTCCTTTTATGACTGGCTTATTTCACTTAGCATGTCATTAGAGTTCATCCACCTTGTAATATGTATCAGAATTTACCTCCTTTTAAAGGCTGAGTAATATTCCATTGTGGATATACTACATTCTGTTTATCCATTCATCTGTCAGTGGACACTTAGGTTGCTTCCACTTTTTGGCTATTTGTGAATCATGCTGCTTTGAACAAGTATGTATGAATATCTTGAGACCTTGCCTTCAGTTCTTTGGTATATAGACCCAGAAGTGGGATTGCTTCATCAAATGGTAGTTCTAGTTTTGGTTTTTCTGAGGAATGGGTGGTTCTGTTGTGTTCACCATGAGCAGGGCTGCTGGAGAAGAAGGACAGCAGTGGCATATCTAGCTAGTGTCCCCTGTGGGCATTCAGTGGAGAAACAGACCTGACACATAGGTGTGCAGCAAATATTTGCTAGCTGAAGGATGTTTTGTGATATATAGGGAGATGATTTGTGAATAACCACTCAGGTCAGGTGCTTTAGTTGGAGTGTATAAAATATACGATGCTAAATAAAGGGAGCAAAACTACGGATGATAAGATTGGGTAAAAGAGGCAGTTAGTTTTTAATCTCATCTCTGAAGTAATAAATGACACGTATTGATGTAGTTGCTTAACAAATAAGTGCTCACTTAAAAAAATTAAAGCACTACAGAAATGTGTAAAGCAGAAAGTGAAAGTCTGCCTTAACACTGCAGCACAGTCTATATTAACAGGGTGGTGTAGACTCTTCATGCATATTCTAAGAGATTTCTAAAATAATTTTAAATGTATCTTTGTGAGGGTGGGAAAATTACCAGTTTAATATGTTCGAGGCATTTCATGGTAGGGCAGCTGTTGTTTGCACAAGTGGAATTCTGTTGGGGAAAGCTGCCATTCACAGAAATGAAACCGGGTCCTTTCATTTATTATGAAATTTTGTAAGTTCTATTACTTGATGATTCTTAAGATGGCTGGAAATTAGAATTACTAAGAAAATCAAATCAGTGTTTCTTGTTTTCTGATTATGTGTTGAGACTACACAGATATTGTTGGTTAGCATTTATTTAGACAGGAGAAGTTGGAAAGTTCTGCCTTTGCTTTAATGAAAAGGCTTGTTTTTTTTAATCCATGGTGACAGGCTGGAGGTGGAGGAAATGGAAGGACACAGATTTTATTATGTTAAAACACATGTTAAATGCCAGTTATCTACCTTGGATAATTTATATATTAATTAAACATCTGGTTTAATATCAGTCCATTTTTAAATAAACAATTGACTTCCTTTAAGGTAACTGTTAGTGTTTTCTGAATTTTATATTACCTAGACCATCGAAAAGCACCTTCTTAGAAAATGACCCATATGAGACTTCATATTTGATGTGAGACTTTGGCTGGTATTATTAGAAGGATCTTCTGATGGGAAAAAGTTGTCTTAGTTGTCTGACAAATGAAGCCAGTCCTCATTTGTGTAAATGAGGTGGCTTCATAAATAAAAGTCACGGATAAATTCCCAAACTTATTTACCTTACATGTCCTTTTCTAGGGCTGCCAGCAAAAGTAACATGTACTAATGCCACTTACAAAATAAAGTAAGGTACAAAAATAAAGTGCTAAAGCCTGCTTGCTTCTTGTGTCCTCTGTGAGCCTCTGAAGAGGGGGCGGTGTGGAGCAGGGTCCCATAATTATATAATAAATGGCCAGGAGTCTGGGAAGGGCAAAGTGGAGAAGAGGGATTTGATTGATCCCCAGACTAATCAATGAGGCCCTGCCAAGCACATGCTAACGGGCAAACTTGAGAAACAGTAGCCCAACAGTACTGCACACTAAAGCCAATGTAAGTTAAGTGTCTCTCAGGTTTTAAATAATCAATCTTTTGTCCTAAAATACCTCTTCTTTTTTGATCCTTAGCAAGAGCTGGCAGTAGATGAGTACCTGCTATGTTAGATTTATTTTTCTCTTCTGTGTCACAGACAGTATAACAAATTGCGAAACCTCCTGAAGGATGCGCGTCATGACTGCATTCTCTTTGCTAATGAATTCCAGCAGTGCTGCTATCGCCCTCGGGAGGGGGGAGAATCCATGGAAAAGTGGCAGACCAGGTATGGCACTGAATTGCTGTGAATTTTCACATGCTCATCTTTTTAAATTTCTTTTTCATTGGCTATTTTGGGAGTTGATCTAAATAGTATGCTAGAACAAAACAACAGTTATTCAGGAACTGTGATTAATACTGAACTGCTTAATGTTTAATGTGTCGTGTCAGTATTTTAGATATGTCATTGGAATATGTAACTGATATATTTTAGAAATCGCAATTAGGAAAGTATAGGTACTCAGAGTAAGTTTGCCCAGACCCTAATGGCTAACAGGACCATTCCAGTGATCTAGAAGTCATAACTTCAGTGTGTTGGGAGGTTGAGAAGGGTCCTTCTTTTAAGTTACGAGCATTTCAATATTCCTGGTATAGGTTGCTCTGTAATATCCCAGTCAGTCTTATTAAACTGAAACTGGTAGAGTAATTCTGATAAAGCTGTTTTAGGAAGTGCAGTATCATACTTCAGATCCACCTAAAAGCAGAGCCTGAAGCAAGGACCTGGGTGTGGGCTGTTTACCTGGGAAGTGATTCCCAGAAACAGCAGTGAGGAAGCAGGGAGACTGAGACAGGGAAGGAGGGGAAGCAGTGAAGGATCTGTTACTACTGTGGGAAACTGAGGCCCAGTCCTGCCAGGAGCCTCTGAGAAGCCATGTAGAGTGTGCCTCACAGGCCACTCGAAGGGCGGAGGCTAAGGCATTCGGTTAGTCACCCCTGTAGCTGAAGGTCACTCCCCAGGGGTGTTAACTCCACTCAGAGGCCCCCGGAGGTAGAATGGAACTGCCACCCAGTTGCAGCAGAAGCTGGAGGTGGGCCTAGGGCACGGGCCCTGGGTGCCGTAGCCTCTGCTGCTCTTCCATGGAGGGCAAAAGAGACTGTAAGCCTTGAAATGTCTTATCCAAACAAAACATTTTAATTGTCTTTTTCCTTGTAATTCTACATCTATATAGCCATTAAATATTTAAAATCTCTAAAGCAAAATAAACACTGATAAATACTGAGTCCATAATTATAGTCCACAAGTTCCCACAGGGCTCAATACCAGAAAGGGGAAGCAAATCTTTCTCCGGACTGAGTCCCATGTGAGGACTCAGAATGATCACACACACCAACTGCACAGTCTTGCTCATAGCAGATACTCTGTATGCTGGCTGGGTTTTTTTTTTTTTTTAATACTATTGCTAAAGAAACCTTACATAGGTTCTTAATTTGCAGAAAGAGAAACAGATGCTTACATAAATGGACTGTCCAAGTTTATACACGTCATTGGAAGCATAATCCAGTCTTTTCCAGACCTGAACTCTGTTTTCCAATTCAGGTTATTTTTTGGAAGATGTTCAGACATTTCATTTGGTTCCTTTTCTGACCTTATTTGATCATGATCCTCAGTGACTTGCAGCCTAGTTTCCTCTTAGCCAAACACTTGTTTCCTTATCTTTTTTTAAATTTTAAATTTTTTTTATTTTTGAGAGGGCACCTCTCATATTTATTGATCAAATGGTTGTTTACAGCAATAAAATTCTGTATAGGGGACTCAATGCACAATCATTAATCAACCCCAAGCCTAACTCTCAACAGTCTCCAATCTTCTGAAGTATAACGAACAACTTCTTACATGGTGAACAAGTTCTTACATGGTGAACAGTGCAAGGGCAGTCATCACAGAAACTTTCGGTTTTGATCACGCATCATGGACTATAAACAATCAGGTCATATATGATTATTCATTTGATTTTTATACTTGATTTATATGTGAATCCCACATTTCTCCCTTATTTTTTTTTTAAATAAAATGCTGAAGTGGTAGGTAGATGCAAGATAAAGATAGAAAGCGTAAGTTAGTGCTGTAAGAGGGCAAATGTAGATGATCAGGTGTGTGCCTATAGACTAAGTATTGATCCAAGCTAGACAAGGGCAGCAAAACATCCACGGATGCAGAAGATTTCTTTCAAAACGGGGGGTGAGGTTCTAAGCCTCACCTCTGTTGACCCCCAATTTCTCACCTGATGGCCCCCCTGCGACTGTGCCTGTCTTAGGTTGTTCCTCCCTTGAGGAATCTTACCCGTCTCTGGCTAACCAGCCGTGTTTCCTTATCTTTTAAGCCTCAGATAGCTTAGTTTGTCATCTATGTGGTTCCATGTGGCTCAGTCCTGCAATTAAAAGGTGTTAAAAGATGGCAGAGCCTCCTGGCTCCTAGACCATATCAAGAAGTGAAAGAGGTTGGTGAGGTGGTTGGATGTCTTAGGGAAAAGATGTCAAACGCTTTCTAATTCATCTTTCTATCTACCAGAGTACCCAACTCAGGGCACTTTATAATGGGTGCTCAGGAAGTACTTGTTGAATGAATGAGTGAACAATGGTTGTCTGTATAAACCAAAGGATTTCAGGTTAAAAGCCAGGGGTACAGTTCTAAACAGTAGTTTGTGTTTGTCTGCCTTGGGAGAGCTCACCAGGCCCTTGGCTCTTCCAGGAGCATATACAGTGCAGCTGTTTGGTACTATCACCACTGCCAGGATAAGATGCCAATCGTTATGGTGACAGAAGATGAAGAGGCAATTCAGCAGTATGGAAGTGAGACAGAAGGAGTATTTGTGATCTCTTTTAAGGTATTTCCAACCGTTTATATGCTCTACAGCCTGCCAAATGATTTTTCTGAATACATAAACAAAACACAGTTCTAAAGGCCAGCCGTGTTTTTCCACTGTACCCCACACTTCCCCACTTGTGACTGTGCATGGGGATATAGGAATCGCGAGATGTTGTACTGTTTATCTGAAGGCTGTCAGATGGGTTTGGAGTACAGATCATAGACAGGAGCAACATTATCGGTTCTGGTTTCTTGGGCTGTCTTGGCAACATGATTCTCCTATTTCTTAGGTACCTTTTGGGAAACTAGGATGATTATTAATCTCTCAACAGATTACTATTCTCTGCTCTCTGCCCCGTTGGTCAATCAGGTTCCAGTGGTTGATACCATGTTTAGATTCAAAAACTAGAATGAGGCTCTCCATTACCCCTGTCATTTTACAGAAAGTCTAGTTGGATTTTGAATTGTAGATTCTATAAGAGTTCCCAGGTGCTTGTATTGCTAGAATTGCCAATAGAATTTTCTTGGCCCTGCTATAAAAAAGTATTCCAGCATGCCAGAGAATTCCAGGGCGCTGGATATTAATGGCAGTGTCACTTGTTTTTTCTGTTGCAATATATCATGTCTTGTTCCTGCAGAGGACAGTTGACTAAAATTACATTTTTCTACTTTTTGTGAAAATTACTTTTCTTTGTGGTTCAGTAGTGTAGTACAATTTTATTGTGCATAGCATTTCCCAAGCAAACTGTGTGACTGAGGGCTTCATAGAGGTGAATGATAGCAGAAAAAAAAGATAGTGTAAAGTGCAGATGAGAAGGAAGCCTGGAGTTTTCTTCTGGTGCTTGAAGTTAGATGGGGAAGGGCGAAGACAACAAATCCCTCTTGAAGAGCTCGTTCATAGTGGCAAAAGCTTGGTGATGATAAGTGATAAGTGACCATAAGCCCATGTTGGCACGGACAGAATTTCTGGAGGGACTAGTGAAAGAAAGGAAGCAGATTGAGTGGGACCCTAAAATCAGTGGGAGAAATGCTTGAGCTGGCAATAGGGATCATTTCTTTTCTTTTTAATTTGAGAAAAGAGAATGTGCTAGACTCTACCTTAGACTTAAAGCTGAGTTAAAATCACATATAGATTTGGTTTTATTTAATTAGAGTCAACTCCTTGAAGGTGTGTGCTCTGGACACAGGGAGCTGACGGAGCACAGCCAACCTCCCCCCGCTGTCCTCTGGTGGGGGCTCCCTTGGGGTTTGTTTAGGGCCCCTCTGGAAGAACGGCAAGAAGTGCAGTAGTATTCACTGCCTCTGACCACTGGTTTCAAAGTTGTTCATACGAGCCTCACGCTAATAGCAGCACTGTGTCCCTTACCCGAGGAATGTCAGCACATCTGTGGGCAGTCAGAGAAGAAGGGTCAGTCCCTGGGAACTTATGAGGGGGGAAATCTCCCACCAAAGAAGAGAAACATCTTTACTTTCCGCCTCTCCGCTCATTTGACATTGCCACTGGGTTGAGGAATGGGAGACATTTCCTTGGATACTTTATTCCTGGCCATTTCTATATGTGTACTGAAGTTTCTTATAAATTTTAAAATGTGAAAAAAAAAAAAGACCAACAAGCATATGTAGAAGCTTTTCCTCTCCAATCAGTCCAGGCCATTGTCTGCAGCAATGAGATACATGTAAAGGCAGGCAGACTGGATGTGTACGTGTGTGTGTGCGCGTGTGTGTAGCAGGGAGTGGGAATTACAGAGAGCAAAGTAGTTGAAGACAGGAGCCTCTACGGCGGGAAGGGCCCCCCTTGGGTTCATTTGGCAAGGCGTCAGGGATTGATGAGAGGGTAGAAATGGGCGTGCAGTGTGAGGCGTGGGGAGGGGATGCTCCTGTAGTTCCCGTTCTGGGCTTCCTGCAATGTGACCATAATGAAGAATCATTATCTTCTGACCATGTTTCTCTTGTGCCTTTGTTAAATGCAGAATTACCTGGACAATTTTTGGCCTGATTTAAAGGCTGCCCATGAGCTTTGTGAGTCCATCCTTCAATCTCGACGGGAAAGAGAGAACGAGAGTCAGGAGAGCCACGGAAAGGAGTACCCAGAACATCTCCCCCTGGAAGTCTTGGAAGCCGGCATTAAATCCGGACGCTACACCCAGGCAAGGGCGCTAGTGAGGAATCGGCTTCGGGACCAGCCAGCTGGTACTCCTCTCTTCTCCACTTGCTCCCTGTCACAGGCCTCTAATTTTAAAGGCTGTGAACAAGATGGGCAGGAGTCAGGCAGAGCTATCGATGTTTAAGGTGGTTTGGGAGTCACCTTCCTGTGGACGTGGCTGTCCTGTCTGGAGCTACTCTGTGATGTTTCAAAGGGTTACAAAGCGAGGTCACAGTAGCAGCCTTGAAAATGCCCCCTGGCTTTGGGAAAGAGAACATATTTTTGAATCAAGGTTTGGAGGTTTGGCAAAACTGTAGAATTTGTGAAATTTGGCTTCTTTACTCCTTTGCCATTTTCCCACCCCTTTTACGGGCCCTTTTCTGATTCCCCCAGGACCCAGATGCTATCAGGGTCTTGAGAAGGAATCAGATAAATTATTCTGATTTCAACAGTTTCACATGTACTCTGTGTGTGTGTGTGTGTGCCATTTTTATCACATCTGTAGATTTGTGTATCTACCATCACAGTGAAGATACAGAATTGTTCCATCATGGATTTGGCATTTTTAACAAGCAACTTAGATGATTTTTATATAGGCCAAAGTTTGAGAATGCCACATTAAAGTCCCTCCCGAAAGGGTGGGTATTTTAGATAAATGTGCTTAGAACAACAGCTGATGCTTCCAATTTGGAAGTAAAATTGACGGCATTCCTGCAAAGATAATTTTGAGGGAGAAGAGTTTTTAAAGACACTCATCACTAAGGTAAGATAGATCCTGGCACTTTGCAACCCTTGATATACCCAGGGTAGTTCAAGTGATTGTATGTTCTCTGGAGAAAAGAAACCTGAGCAGTGAATAGCATTCCTTAAGAAAGGGATCACAAACCTTATAATGTTCTGGAGGTATTTCCATATAATTTTTAAAAGCTTACCTTTTGGAGGTAAAGCAGGCAGAAAATAAATTTTTTACATTGATTTTTATTACAATTTTAGGGAACTCTGAGCGTCAACAAACACAGAGCACAAATAGAAGCCTTTGTTCGACTTCAAGGAGCCAGCAGTAAAGATTCAGGTTTAGTATAAACCTTTACATAAGTGTCAATGCTTCTTTCTTATTCTGATGTTACACAATGAAGAAAGCAGAGTTGAAATTTGCACATGATACATGCCAAGTCAGATACCCACACACGCACTGTCTGTGCCAGGTCACGGTCGGTTCCCCCTAGCTTTTTGTCTGTAATTTCTGATTTAATTGAAATAAACTTTAAAAAACAAGAATAGCTAATATTTTCTTGAGTGCCTACTACATATCAGGTTCTAAGCACTTAATGTAGGTATTGTTGTTTTCCACTTTTTATACGTGAGGATACACAAGGTTCCACACGTGGAAACTAAAATACAGAGAAGCAAAGTACCTCGTCCAAGATCACAAACTGGGACCTGGTGGGGATGAACCCGGCCGAGATTTTTAAGATATTACCATATACTGCCTTGGTGTGCTGTACTGCCTTACTGGAATCATTTAAAAAAGTAATACAAATGAAAAAAAATGTTGTATCATAATAGAGTGTAGTTCTTAGTTCTACAATGAAAAAACCCTTAGGAGCAGGGCTGGGTTGAAGGAAAAGGGGAAGCAGTGGCTTTCTCCGGCTTCTGCCGGTCAGACTGACCCCCGTCACTTCCGCAGTGTCTGCAGATCCTCAGTCTGCCGACCACTCCCTGGCTGCGGGCGGACGGGGCGTGCAGAGTTCCAGGGCAGACTTAGAGAGTCTCATGTGGGGAACTGGTACCTAACTGAAGAGATGGCTGAGGGTGGCCCTTAGGAACACACCTTCTACGGTATGACAGGGTGGCAGTGTTTCTTCATCCCTAACTTCTGGAACAGACTTTGACTTATACCTTTGAGAGGAAGAAGCTTCTAGTTGCAGGAGTGCTGATTAGACCTCAGATATAATGTGCCTGAAATGCCTCACTCGTGTGGCATCCCCCTGGCTCTATGGGGGCTCTCTGTGCCACCCCAAACACAGGCTTAGTCAGTGACATCCTAATCCACGGGATGAAGGCTCGGAACCGCTCCATCCATGGGGACGTGGTGGCTGTGGAACTGCTCCCTAAAAACGAATGGAAAGGAAGAACCGCCGCCCTGTGTGAAAACGACAGTGATGACAAGGTGTCGGGAGAGTCCCCGAGTGAGCCCATACCCACAGGTGAGTAGCTGCAAAGCCACCCAGCTTGACCCATTCTTGTGCACTGTTTATTTTTCCCTTCCTTAACAACTCAGAAATACTACTATTACTGATACACGACATGGTCTCCTTTCCTACATCATCAGGTTCCCTCTTTGCAAGTTTATCCTTTTCTTATCAGCACCCAAATAATGCTGGAATATCTCCCATCTCAAAACAAAAACCCTCTTAGGTCCCTTGTCTCCAGCTACTGCCCTTTCCTCTGCTTCCGTTTCTGGCAAACTCACTGAAACAATTAACTTTGCCTTCTCTCTACATCCTCTTTATCCAATCTCTGCTGAAGCTACTACATTCAGGCACACCTCCAAAGAAACCCTTGACCTCTTCTCAAGGTCACTGGTGACCTATTGCCAGCCGTGCTTAGCATCTGTCATGTGTCAGCAGCATTTGGCCAGCAGACGACTGCGTCACCTTTGGCTTCTGGGTTTTCCTCCCTGCCGGTTGCACCTTCTCACCCAGTTCCTTTGCTGGCCCCCCATCTGTGGTGCCCTTGGACACCCCGGCGCTCCTCTGCATCTCTTTCTCTGAACTTTCTCCCTAGGAGATCCCGTTCAGTCCTCTGCTTTATTGCTCAGCCCACTCCTTCCTCAGCCTCCAGTTTTATCTACTCATTTGTCCATTTGGCATCTTCCCCTGAGTGGCTAGTGGACATCTCAAACTTCACATGCCTAATAACTCCTGTCTTCATCCCCAAACCTGCTTCTTCCTGGGTGTTCCCCATTTATCTCAATAAATGGCAAGTTCATTCTGACAGTTGGTCAACCCAACGACCTTGGCATTATCCGCAACTTCGTGCACACACCAGCCAGTCCGATCTGCTCTAACTCTAACGTGTGGTCTGAATCCAGCCACTCCCACACGCCACCACCGCCCCCCTGCTTCGGCCCCTAGAACCCTTTGGTAAGATTATCCCAACGGCCTCCTCGCTGGTCTCCCTGCTCCCACCCTTGTTCCCAGACGGTCTTCACACAGGAGCCGCGATGATCCTTTTAAAAGTCTTTGGGTCCTGTCAAGTGTCTGCCAGTGGCTGCTTCCCATTTCTCTCAGGATAAAACCCAAACTTCTCCTGTGGCCTATGTGGCCCCAGCAGCTCGGGCTGCCTTCTGTCATGCCCTCTTCATCACCCCACTCCTGCCACGCTGACCAACTTTGTCGTTTCCGCCACCAGAAACACGCTGTTTCCAAACGCTGTCATGCCTCCTTTCCTCACTTCAAGTCTCCATTCCAATGTCACTGTTTAAAGTAGCTGCTACTTCTGATCCTTCATTACTCTTGGTCATTGTACCCTACTTTGCATCTTTCTTGACAGCCATTACTACCTCTCATATGTGTATTTGTATTGTCTGGTTCCACCCCCACAGGCACCCATACTAGAATGCTAACTTAACCAAGAAATCAAGGACTTTGTTCCGCTATATTTGATGTACCTAGAACAGGGCCTCCTACCTAGTAGGGGTTCAGTGTACATTTGTGAAAATAAAAGGTAGCACTCTTAACTATTAAAGTTTGTTTTTTCTTGACTGCAGTGCAGTCAGTGATGTTTCAAGGTGTTGTATATCAGACTTATTATGTTTTGCATACTTTTCTTTGTATAATGTTGGACCAAATGATTGTGGCTGCTGGGACAACGCAAGAAAGACAGTGAACTTGCACAGTAGAGGGCATGGGTTAAAAAAAGTAAAAATCATTGACTTTTCCCAGTATACCTAAACCTGAGATTAATAAGGTAAGGGTGAAAGAGGAAGTGTGACTCATGGATTCTCAATGCCACAGTAGGCCTCACAGAAGAAAGGGCATACTGACAATGTTACAAAAAAATTATCTTGACAAAATTCTCCATGTTCCTAATAAAAGGCTAGGAAGGCAAATATTTAAGCATCTCTTTTGCTTGCGTGGTTTGTGTGGGTGTGCTTAAAAAACTGGGATGTTGTGGTTCCTGTTTTCTTCCTCATTTCTGAACTAGTCTGAGTCCAGACAGGGAACATCTCACCAGTTAAGGCTTTGTTTTGTTTTGTTTTCCTAAAGGCAGAGTGGTGGGCATCCTTCAGAAGAACTGGCGGGATTATGTGGTGACATTTCCATCCAGAGAAGAGGTCCAATCCCAGGGAAAAAATGCTCAGAAAATCCTAGTTACCCCTTGGGATTACAGAATTCCCAAAATCCGAATCAGCACTCAGCAAGCAGAAGCCCTCCAGGTAGCTGCCATTGTGTTTCCGCTGTTGTCCCCCTGCTTTTGCCAGCCTTCCTGCATTACCGGGAACCACAGTTAATTCCTTAGCATAAGAAGGCCTGAGTTATTGATGGCATCTGGCACTCTGAAATCCTGTTTTTTAAAGAGTTCTAAATATATACAGCCATCTATTAAGTAGTCCTTGGTTAATAAATGAAGGCCAGAGAGAAACCAGCCTAGAAAGAGCTGTGTAGGACAACTAGAGAGAACATACATTATCTAACTGTCCAACACAGAAACTTTCAATTGATACACTTTGCCAACACTAACAAGCTTTCTTTCAGCCAGCGATATAGAAATACGATCGCGCTGCCCTGTAGGGATGATATAGTGGTACTTCACAGCATCGATTATCCATAAAGGATAAAGCAGTGGAGAGAAGACCTAAACCAGAAAGTTAGTAATCAACCTTTACTGTTGCAGAGTGCAAGCCTTGCTCTGATTTGATTTGCCTGGTGTTTTGCAGTTTGTAAATGAGACGTGGAAGCAGGATGTCCCCAGCCAGTAACCTACCTAGTCACTGTGTACCTTTACATCTTGAAGCCTTATGCAGGTTCTCTGAGGCCACTTATACCTATTGCATTCCATATCCATGGTTTACTGGAATTTGGGGGGCAGTAGGGTTCAGTTCACACTGATACCTTCTTCCCCACGAAAAGATATCTTAAGAAATTAGAAAGTAACTTCAAAGACATCAGAAAATAACTCCCACACACAAAAAGTTGGAGATTTTTGTTTTGAAACTTAATTTGGGTTGTGCACAGTTGGGTTTTTCTTAGTGTTACAGTTCGCTTTCTTCAACAGACTAGTTTCTAGCCCACGAATTGGATGTAAAGAGGTAACACCTCCTCTCAAAGCACCGGCAATTTACGTACCACCTGGCAATTTAGTACCACAGGAAGAACCGAAACAGTACCCAAAGCACTGTTTGCAAATTGGCCACTCTCTTTGAAGCTTGATGCTGTTGTCTCTTTTTGTTTGGTGCTTCTAACTGACCCACTAAACTCCTGGTGCTGGGCTCGTGGGTGTTTTCTCCTTTTGTGCAGGACTTCAGGGTGGTTGTGCGCATCGATTCCTGGGAGTCGACATCTGTGTATCCAAATGGACATTTTGTGCGCGTTTTAGGAAGAATAGGAGATCTGGAAGGGGAAATTGCAACCATCCTCGTGGAAAACAGCATTTCAGTCATCCCTTTCTCCGAAGCTCAGGTCAGACTTCCCCGAGTCTGTTGGTCTGGTTGAAGGACATTTTGTACCTTTTCTTTTTGCTTTTGCAGTTTGATTCATCATTAGGAAGAAAACTGTGCACTGTGGGACAACCCACTGTCTAAGGCTGGACAATGGAAAAATCTCACTCCTCTTCTGTCTGTGTATAGACCGGACTGAAGTCAGCTTCAAGTACAGGCTCATAGCTCTCAAATTTTTACGTTTTCCAACTGTGCGTAAAAATGATATGTCATTGTCTTAGAGGCAGTATATATCCATCCCCAGCAACTGCAAGGATACCTAGCTGCAGACCCAGCTGGGCTCCACTCCCTGTCACAGTCATTCAACCGGAGGCCTGCATAAAGCTGCAGGGGGCAGCTCCTTGGATTCCATACATCTCTGACCCAAGGGTCAAAAAATTATGCTCATTACAAAACAGTTTTTATAACCTTTACAGAAAACAGAAATGCCATGAACATAAAACATTAGCTATTTCCATCACTTTATGATCTTTTAAAATCCTCATGAATCTTGTTTATTATTCTTGCATAACTATATTCATGGTGTGCGCATACTATTTTATTCTTTCACTTAAAATTATTTCCATATATTGACATAACCTACTTATTTTTAATAGTTATGGCAAATTACTGTATATTGATGTACTCTATTTTGCCTAAGCATTCCTTGATTGTTAGGCATTTGGCCTGTTTAATTTTTCAGTGTTAAAAAAATGCTACTTCAAACATTTTAATAAATATTGCTCTTTTTAAAAAAAATATTCCTTGGAATGTAATCCTTAAAGTGCGATTACCAAGTCAAAGGGCATAAAAAATTTAAATAACTTTTATTATGTATTGGCAGATCGTTCTCCAGAAAAATTGGACCCGTTTGCATTGCTATCAAGAGCATATGGGTGTTCTTATTTTCATTAGAGTTTTTGACAGAGCAGTAGCTATAATAGTAAAATATTTTAGAATATTTCACATTAAATTTTTATGTTAAACATTATTCTGGAAATTATTTGTTGATTTGCTTTGACAGCTCTTAGTGAAAATGTTAGAATAAAATAAAGCATGGATTGGACTTCACAGAACTAGAATTCTCTGTTCCCCGTTAGCCTACTTAACTACAAATTGATGGCTTAAACAGGTAATAATGGAGAGAAAATGCCTGCCTAGATTGGTCCTGCTTAAATTATCTTTAAGGACTGAGCTTTTAATATTTGGGACATGTTGGATTTTTTTCAGAGCTTGACTTGAATTACAAGCTCAACTACATATAAACAAATAGATTATTTGAAAATGGGGCAGATGTTGAACTCTTTAAAAAGCCATCTGTTTTTTATCACTCCAGCCCTATGTAACTAAAGAGACTGGTTAAAGTTGTGGGACATTTCCTTTCAGAGTACAGGGTCCTCAAGGGCAGGGACTGCATCTCTCCTGCTGCCTCCGGACTTTCCAGAGCCCAGCACAGTTCCTGACTCATACCAGCTAGGCACCAAATACATAATTATTGACCAAAAGCAGTAAATAGGTTAATTCAAAAGTTAATGGGGGAGTCAATGGGATTTCTATGAGGGTGCACTGAGAATGTTAGAGAATATATTTTAACAGGAAATTTTTGGGGTGTAAATTGCTGAATATTTGGCTTCTTGATGTGCAGATGTGTGAGATGCCAGTAAACACACCAGAGTGTCCCTGGAAGGTGAGTCCTGAAGAGGAACGAGATCGTAAAGACTTGAGGAAAACCCATCTGGTATTCAGCATTGACCCCGAAGGATGTGAAGATGTGGATGACACACTCTCAGTCAGAACCTTAAATAATGGCAACCTGGAACTTGGGGTCCACATTGCAGATGTAACACACTTTGTGGCGCCAGATTCGTACATTGATATTGAAGCTAGAACAAGGTAGTGTTATTTGAAATCACTATGATTATGTGTGACTATAATATACTATGTAACTATATGCTAGTTTCATATTTTCAAAACAAAGATTTCAAAATTTTGTGTAATTCTGAGAATCCCTTCCAGAAAAAAAGATTGAGGTCCCCTTCCCCTTTTTCTTTAGAAAAATAGTACCTTGATCAATTTACCTTTACTTTTCTAACAGAACCTTTCCACTCCTCACTTCCTTCTATATTGAAATGGGTTAAATTTTTCATGTAGTGATGTAGTCTTTTATATAAAATACTGGATCATTGCACTCTAATTTTTCTCATACAGCTAAGATTCATGTCATTCTTTCTTTCTTTTTTATATCAGTGGAGGATATTCAGCCTAAAGCAGTATCACTTAGAAAAGTAGAAACAGGGGAATAGCTTTATTACCCAGTCTGCTGCACTTTATGAAAAAGCAACAGCCTCGGGGAATTTGTGCTGCGATGTTGGCCGTGTACCTCACTGCAGCCCATGCCGCCGGCAGTTCTACCTCGTGCTGCTGAAGGTCACCCACCTGCCTATGTGTCATCCACAGGGCCACCACTTATTACTTAGCAGATCGTCGCTATGACATGCTACCCTCCGTCCTCAGCGCTGATTTGTGCTCCCTCCTGGGGGGCGTTGATAGGTGAGTTTGTTCAGTTTTTGTCTGTGGTGCCTGCGCTCTTTCTTGCTTCTGGCCCCTCTCCCGTTCATTCTAACGGGCTCTTCCTGCCTCCACCCACCCCTGCTTTCCCCTCTGCCCCCCACGCTCCTCTGCAGCATTTATTTCTAGGCGGCTTCATTTCTCCAACCTTCCCTTCCTCTCCTCTCCTCTTCTCTCTCTGTAGCTGTGAGGCTGCTTCTCCCTCTGTTGTTGTTTTTTTTCATCATTAAAGCCTGGGAGCAAATGTGCACAGCTTTGTTCACATGTATTCCCTGGTTGAGGGTGTTTTGTATGAGGATCATGAACTTAAGAAGTTTTTTTGTTTATTTATTGTAGTTAAGTTTATGTCTATCTTTGAATGGTTAATAAAACCATATAGTTAAAAGTTCGTAGGTTTCAAAAGATATTTAGTGCACAGTTCTCTCCTGCCCTCTTTCCCTTAGTTACCAATTTCTCACGTTTTCCTAGATGTAATAACAGA